CAAAACATTTCTAAACACAATTTGTAAAATGTCTTTTGAACAACCGAAACACGGTTACTGAATTTTAATGGGTATTGCGAACATTGGTCAAACAGTTTGGCAAATTTTATTTCACTTTTAGGTCAAGTCTCTACCGACCTCACGGACGCTATGAGAGCATGAGTACGGAAACGATGCTGTGTTTGAGTTTTTTTTTTAACGTTTTGAGACTCCCTTTTGCGTTATGTGAGTGTGAATGTGTGCTGAGTGAGTGTGGTTGTGTATGTGCGAATTTGCGATGAGTGAGTGCATTTCGCTGGCGTTGTGTGCTGCAAAGCACCCTTTGATTGGTGAAAAAAGAATTTACTCATACCGACTGAAAATTCCGCTGCTGCCACTGGCATTGACTCCGCCACTACCGCCGCATTTGTCGAGACTACGGCTCATCAACTGGACCCCTTTGACAACTGACTCCATCCACGCTCCGCTATGCCCCTCGCCTCCCTATAAAAAGTGAGTCCATTTCTCCCTCACTTCTATCATAACCGTCCTTCACCATTTTATCCCTGTAAGTATTTTGGGAATATCGTATCCTCCCAGATGAAGCAGACAACGAATTCTTGATGCTCCGGGTAACTGAAATCCATGTTAGACCCATTGAACTACGTAACCTCCCTCAACACCTTCTAACTCGCCTTCTGTTACAAGGCGAATTGGGGTGTGTGTTACCTAAGATAGCAACAATTTGATGACAAAAAAGTTAAATTAGGTTGTGCATCCTTCGTCCGACCCTTGGGAGAAGGCAATAAAATACTCCCTTAGCCCGTTTTTTCCTTGTGTATGCAGAATCGAAAATTATTTACACACCTTTACACGTCTGTCAGTCAGTTGCTAACGTGAGACTTTTGAAGTTGAATTTCGTTCTTTTGCGTTTTTAATGGGTAAAAGTAATAAGATGTTACTAATAAAAGGGAGGAAATTTTCATTGAAATTGTCGAATGCATCATTGTGCAAGTGTCTCTCAAACTGAAGGCAATAAATTTCCTCTCTGTTTACCCTTTTTTATAGATGTACGCGTCGTTTGAGGGTTGTTCCAAACTGCCCCCTCTGAATTTGCGCCAACGTGCTGCCACGGCCAGGGCTCCGTTGAAGCCGCGCTATTCAAAGGATCAACACCACGATCACAAAAACGGAGTTTGCGAATACTGCTGGAATTTAGAAATCCCACGCACACCCACTCTTTTCGACGAAACAACGGCAGGGTTGTCAGACAACCCTTTCACGGAAGATGATGAGGCAATTGATGACGGCGCATTCAGTGATTCATCGTTGAGTAGTTGTTTAGATGAAGAAGATCTGCCATACGATTATGAATTTAAAAATGCCAATTGTGATTTTTTTGAGAAGCAACTCAAAATGGTGGATGCAGGACGCATTTCAGTTCCAATGAATTGTGAGGTTATAACCAGGCGTCGTGTGATAAGACGACGAATTGCCCGACCATCACCCCTGCCATCCTTTTATCAAATTTCCTATAACAGCCAGGAAGCAACATCGGGTTCAGGTATATTCATTGGGAGGTTTGTGCTTGTGTGGGAGAGAAGTGGTTGTGTTGCACAATTGGGAGGTTGTTGGCAGCGTAGCCTTTGATAATTTCGCGGTTCGTTTTTCCTTCCCTAGACTCTGGATTCGCTTTTGGAGCACCAAAACGTGCAATGAGTTCCGCTAACGTAACCGCTAGTCAATCCTGGAATTATCGGAATGGAATGATGTCAGGTAGGCGCGTTACCCTGTTGGTGCATGCGTGGTTGTGGTGCAGACGTCTAATTAAGAGTTTTACTCAAATTAGCACCGCGGCTTGTAGCATCACTGAACAGCGTTGCGATGCTTGTCGCATAAAAAAACGATGCAATCACCCTTTTTGAGGAATTGACCGTAAATACGTTCCCTCATCAAATGCAATACTTTATCCATTTGAAGTGCAATATGCTAGAAGCGCTTAAAGCTCGTATTTTTTCCTTCTTAGGTCCACAAAGTCCAGCACCAGGCTACTCGTCTATTCGTTCTATCGGAGGGAGTCTGCGGGGTGGTGGAATGCTTTCCAGCTCCCAAGGCTACTCGGCACGCCGGGAGCGTCTGCGACAGGAGGCTGAACAGGCGGAGGCACTGCGACAGAGCACTCAACGCATCAATCATGTTCCTGCCGCGTCTTCCAATGACCTGCGCTCCACTACTCTCCATCAGCAACGCAGACAGCACTACCACTCAATGTCAACTATACAGGTGAACATTTCTTACGCAAACATTTTTTTCATCTGATTTGATAAAGTTTGGCTAGTCGCAAACCCACAAGGGATGGGTATGAGA